ATTGTTTCTAAATAAAATAGATATTTTTAGGGAAAAGATTAAAGTTTCACCTGTCAAAAAATATTTTCCTGATTTTCTAGGTAAATTTTAATATTTAATTATATATTATTATTATTTCCAAAAAAAAAAAAATTTTTTGTTAAATGGAAATTTTACGTTTTTAGGTGATAATCAAAATTTTAAACAGACAACACATTTTTTTAAAAAAAAATTTCAAAGACTTAATCGTAGTCAAAAAAAAGAAATTTATCCACATTTCACAGATGCAACAGACACAAATCTATTAAGACATATAATGGGAAGTGTAACTGATATTATTCTAACACAAAATTTACGAGATTTAGTACTATGATTTATATATAAATATATAATGCATAGTTATATATAATATTTAAAAGTATTTATTAGTAATGATATAATAACTTTTTAATGATTCCTTCTCTTGTAATTATAATTTTTTCAATTAATTTAAAATTTTTAGTAAATTATTTAAAGATTATAGAGATAAAAAAAAAATAAAAAAAAATTGTGTATATAATATATTTGTTAATGGTCTGTGCAACTCGAACAAATTTTTTCATGTGAACCTCATACATACATACGTACGTACATATTTGATTATAATATTTAATTAAAATGTCTGAGGAAGAACAACCAAAATTTGAAGAAAATAATGATAATGGTGCTGAGGTTTGTTTAATGATTGATAACTTGGTATATTATAATTACTATAATTTATATTTATATCTGTGATACATTAGAATATACCACCACCAGTTAAGGATCCCAAGAGAATTTTTAATGAGGAAGAAATTAAAAATATAATCGGAGAGGTAAAATGATGAATTATTATTATTATTATTAATTACTATTATCACCACTGCTGCCACTGTTGCTGCCACCGCCACTTACTATCATCGCAATATCTTGTTTTTCTGAATATCACATCATTATCAGGTAGTAGAAAAAACAATTTTACAAGATTCAGCATATCTTCACAGTAGAATATCTCATTGGAATTCTACAATAGTTGAACAAACATTAAAGAAATTATCATCATTAAATAAATCTTTTAAATATATTGGTAAAGATTTTTTTTGGACTAATTGAAAAAAAAAAGAAATAAAAGAATCTAAATCTAAATCTAAAATTACAATTTTAGTAACATGCACAATTTTTGAAAAGAATGGAGCTGGAATACATGCTACAACTACTTGTTATTGGGATTCAAGATATGATGGTAATAATATTAACAATAATAATAATCAAAGTCTGCATCTAAATCTTAAATCTTATAAAATTTTCTAAATTCTTTTTTTTTTCTTCTAAAAAATAACCATTAGGAAGTACAACTTATAGACATGATACAAATAGTATGTATGTCATTGTTAATGTTTGGGGATTATGTGTGTGAATGCACTCACTGGTTATCCAGAAAAGGGTTTTTGTATGTGCCGTAGTATGTCACAGGCGGATAAATAACTAGATTTTTATTTAAGACAATCAAAAAAAAAATTATTCAAACTTCTTTTTTATTTTTAAAAAAAATTTTTTTTTAATTACAAAATGATAAATTTCTTATATATTAAAGTAATTAAAAAAAGAATTTTAAGAATTATATGTAATCTTCCTCAGTTGATTGTGACTCATCATTGTAACCAACTTCTTTAAATGTAAGTCATTCTAGAGTGAATTCACTCAAAAACTCACACGAACTGGCATTGGTTATCTTCAAAGACCACTAGTCATCCAAATCAATGGGATGACTCTTTAAAATAACTAGCTCTTGGGTCATGGGTTACAATTGATCCAAACTAACTAACACCTTATGATTTTAAATCATATCCCCTTTTTATCAGATGGCATATAAAAGAGTTTTAAAGAAGATGTAATTTCATCACACTTTTCTAAAAGAAAGGACACAGCTTCCCATTCTAAAAAACCTCCACTCAGGAAAGCTCTTAAAATCACGCTTTACCTTAATTTGGGGGTTGGTACTGCTCGTTAGACATATACCAAATGTTTTGCAGCAGTTAATATTGATGTGAAAAATAAAAAAATTTGAAGACCCTGATTTCCGATTGGTTCTTATGGTATTAGAGATTCAGATATTGCTGCAAAAAAAGAAAAGTTTTAGTCAAATCGCAGCCAATCAACATTAGATCAATAGATCGGGAAAGAGTAAGTGGACATTATTCATTTCTCAAAGGTGAAAAAATACCTGTATTTAAACATAATCATCTTGGTGAATTTTGCTTATGTATCATTAAACCACTTGAAAGTAAGGCTGATATCCAAGATCCTAAATTTTCGGTAGTTGGAGAGAATAGAGGCGCTGGCACCATTTAGGAGTGAGAACCTTCATGATCAAATTACAGACAGACATAAATAGATTATATTGATATGTTTAGAATACGTGAAAGGGATCTATTCATGGTAAAGTAAATAAGCATAAAAGATATAAGCCCCACAAGAACATTCATAATCTTGTGGCAAAATGACAAAATGAGGTTAATGAACATTACAGGGATAAAAATTTTAAACATCACAATTGTACTGCCACCATATAATGTGATAATATTTAATATTAACTTTGATTTATAAACAAGCAATGAATGAATGATTTCAAAACTGAAGAGTTGGATTTCAGCTTAATATTAATATGGAATAGAATCCCCT